AATACCTCAAGCGTGTGACGGAAATGTTACGCCCCTACCATACTGTGATGTTGTGTCCCGGTGCGACGAGACGAAACCAATAAAACCCATTACATAATTACTGATTATAATGACTTATACTGTCTTTTTACAGGTTGCGTTGCATCGCGCCGCGTAAACATAAAACCATGTCTGCATTTGTGATCGGAGAAATGACAAACTACAAGCGCTACTCTACACTGCTCAAAACTCGTGTTTGAATCATCAGTGGCAAATTCTTTAAATATGAAGACGTACTTACAGTCTGTGAGTCAGAACAGCCGGCATTATAGTCTACTCTCCCAGGATCAGGAAACAGTCCTCCATAAAATGTGTTGCACACATCTGAATATTTGGGTTGAACTGTTCTGGAACAGTGTTGTAAATACAACTTAACCACTGATTTCTAGTTGTGTCCACTTTTGGAAGACCAAACAAAGTAGTTTCGCTTTCACAACAAAACACAGTGTCTTCACGACATGGCGGCGGCAGCAGCAACAATAATACAGCGAGAATCAAATGCTGCTTTCCGAGGCTGCATTCCAAGGCAGGAAGGCATCAAGGCACGTCCAAATTCAAATTCTGCTTTACTTCCTGTCTCCGGAGGTACCTTCTTCTGATCAAATTTTGAAGGCAGCATAGATGTATCCTTCTCTGCCTTTGATATCCCACAATCCTGTGCGTTCCATTCCGGGATTATTGGGGGACGGTTGAGCTAAAAAATAAAGATGACTAACTTTTTGCACTTTTGATGTTATTTCTAGCGAGAAATCAGTATTATAGTAATACAATATTTGTTTAGTTATCACAAAAACTCGTTCTATTTTGTTGTAGATCATTAAACCGTTACGCTGCCTCAGAAGCCTATCCGAAATCAGTTTCATGAGGTGCCTTCGTGCAAAAAACGCTGCCTGCAAAGTTATTGCCTCATACGGCAGCAAGTCAGCTGCCTAAGTTTTCGGATGCAGCCAAAGTTACGCCTTCTTTCTTTGCGTAAACATTTGGGCGGTGTTATGCAAATCTTCCCACACAGTGACTTAGACATGTGGGGGCGTGTTTAAACGAGGCATTTTAGGAAACTCTTCCCTTTACCAGATTCCCAGGTTCCAGGGACCCATCTGGCGCTATGTTTCCAGCTCCTCCAGAACACTTCCCTGGTTCCCTAAAATCCAGATCAGGCTACAGCATCCCTGATTGATTTTAAATCCTCTCGCTCAACCCTGTACTATAAATGTATTTTATTAGCAGCCTATATCCTACTATATCTTAATTAAACTCATATCCTAACAAGTACCCCAAATCCTTATTTACCTTTCCCTTTTTATGTAAGTATGTTATGAATTCCTTTCTTTCTTCATCATATTTTTTACAATCGTATATTACATGCTCTACTGTTTCATTTTCCCCACAATACTCACATAAACCATTCTCATGTACTCCAGGAAATAAATAGTGATGCATTCAGTCCTGTGTGTCCAAGTCTCATCCTTGTTATAATGACTTGTTCCCTCCTGGTTCTACCACTAATGATTCGTTTATTATTAAAAAAAATTTTTTATATTAAATAAATGCCTCCCCTTATTATCTGAATTCCATATTTCTTGCCAATCCTTTAAAATATTTTCCATAATTATAGTTTTGACCACCTTTACTTAAAGCAACGTTAACATCTACTTCTTACTTTTTTTAAAGCATATTTGGCCAATTTATCAGCTGTTTCATTTCCCAATATGCCCACATGTGCTGGCACCCAGCAGAAACCAACTAATACACCTTTTCATTGTACACGCCATAATAATGTCAATATTTCACTTAATAAGTCTTCTCTACATGAATGATGGGTGGACAACGATGTTAACACAGAAGCAGAATCAGAGCATATCACTACTCTGTCTGGTCTTACCTCTTCAATCCACATCAATCCTATTATGATAGCGACCATTTCAATAGCATATATTGATAGCTTAGAAATGATACTCTTTTAGTTATTGATACATTCAAGTCCGGGATAAAAACTCCTATTCCTGCAAGCCCTATATTTGGGTCTTTTGATCCATCTGTATAAATATGTGTACTCGCATAAAATCTTTGCTGTAAATGTCTATTCACCATATATTTGATATTACCCATTTCCTCCCAGTCCCTTTTCTTGTCTAGTATTTACAAATCAATTTTAACTTCAGGAATTAACCAAGCTGGTACCTCGCCCCATACTGGAGACATACTA